ATTTGTGTGAGGAACAAGCTTCATTCTTCGACTGTTCCCACTGCATCTTGCGTCGATTTCAAGTCACATTCAGATGCTATTTTACGTAAGTCCCCACACCAATATTATTATTGCGCAATGCGACGCCACATCCTTCTTTTTACTCGCGTCTTTCAGGTGAACGTCAGCTCCTGGATGGCAAGAACAAGTTCGATTCCGGATACCTTAGCGAAATCTCCTATCTTTGGCATTATTTAATGAATACATGAATCCGTGTGACCGTGTGAGGAAGTCCTTCGCGAATCTGATTGGCAAAGTTTATAGCCTATCCATGAATCTTTGGATCAGCGGACAGCCCCGTTTGGTTCACTGCATGTTCTCTGGATACTGGCTAAATCGATATGATGTTCCGTATTTTGAACGACTGATGTTCAGCTACTGTAGATGGGTCCAAACGCACGCAGTGCCTTCAATGAAAGCTTCGACGAGTGAACGAACACGAAAAGCGTAGTGGCATGGCAGGAACTTTCACAGGTTACTGGCACTGAAAGACGTATTTCCGTGTTGGTGGTGAAAACTTAGCAACGTGTACAGAAGGTAATAAATTTCAATAAACTTGGCGGCGGCAAATTATTGAATATCTTCCAGAGCTGCGGGGAACTGATGTAACACTATCGCAACAGCTGTTACTTCCCGGTTCGCATATGTTCTTGAGATTTACGTTTGCCTGAAAGACGTGAGGAACTAAAGAGGAGTGTCCATTAGAATGCATCGAAAGTTCCCTTGGACTTAGTTTTAAGTGCAACATAGATAAAAGGCGAAGGAAAATTATTCCAATTACGAACTACTTAGATGAGGAAAACTTTCCCACTCTATCCGCTCTGTCTGTTAGTAAGTTCACTGGTGGTGAACGAAACTTTGTTCAGACACTGCGTAGTTAAGCTTCAAGTCCACTCACAGCAGACCACAGTACATTGAAAGAAGTTAAAGCAGCTCGAGGCGCTTTCCATAATCAAAGGATTTTAGGCCAGCAATACTGTTCTTGGTAGCTCGTTGGACACCATTAATGGGAGTTACGGTTGTCATGGGTCCTAAGTAGAAAACCTGGTTGTCCTGTTCAAGAAGCGGTCCGGTGAAAAGCTTCACAAGGCAAGATATATCAAGTGTTTGGAGCGCGAATTCATTGGCCGGAAAGTCCGCGGTCCAAATTATTTCAAATTATTCGAAGTATGGTGAGTGCGTCTTGTAACTAGTTTTCGTGATGGATTGACGTGCCTAAGTTGTTTTCATACGTAGCTTCGTGGAACGTTGTGCTCTGTTCCAACCACACAGGACGATAGTGCTTACTGGGTCTCCAACGAACGAGTTTCTGACCCATCCCACCGTTCAAAAAAGGTGTGAATTCAATGAAAACTGACGGTCCAGCTTCAACATTAACAGAATTGATGTGGCGGTAAAACACGGAGAAATCTGTTAGTGCAAAAATTGTAGGCTTGGATTTCGATGCACATCAGGAAGGTTGCTGACGCAGACCAGAGAGAGGTACCGTATTTTCTCAGCCTATTTCTTGCTCTTGGACACCCAAGCTGGCGTTCACGTCAAAACAATCACCAAAGGTGCATAAAGTATACTGACACCCAGAACGAAGTCAGAAACACCCGTGCAGCACTTCATACACATAGCGTAAGCGGAAATTTCGACGCTTGCCGGTGTAACGCATTTGAAACTCGAATGTATCTGCTTGCCCGTTTCTCATATGACCTTATACGTGCCCCTCCCTTTCTCTCTTCCCCCATTGCAGGTACCACGGACGAATCACCACGGGCCCTGGACAGGGAAGAGTACCCCACTTGTACACCCCCTAACTGACCTTGACCCGACACACACCCCCGCTTCCGGTTTCGGTTTCGCTCAATACACGTGTGTCGTTACCACACTCCGGCCTTCTCCCTTGTTCCACCCGACCTGTGCGCATGTGTGCTGTGTATACTGTGTGGATTCATTAATACCAGTCCGTATATCTGCACATTTCAGAACTGACGTGTGCCGTCCTCTCGAACGTCGAATACCGCTGACTTCCTGACATCCCACGCTACATTGGTGACACAGGTGGGATCAAGTCAATTTTCCGTTCGATCTTCCTGCGAAGCCTTGTGTGGGTTAGGCTTCTCGGCCGTAGCGGCGCCGGACTGTAAGCGGCAAAAAGGGATCCGTGTGGACTTCCGCCTAACAATATGCGGTATGGAGTGGCGGTTTTGGACGGTAGTTATTCTCAGTGCCCTATAATCAACACAAGGGTACCAATTTCCGGACTTTATCGGTGCCGCGGCGATACCCATGCGGTTTTCGGCGGGTGAACCAGCTCGATTATTTGGCCGAACTCGGCTCGAGTGGTCTTCAGTCTTCCACGACTAAGGCGGTTTCTATTTGTACAGATCAGTGGACGTTTCGTTTTGATGTATTTTTCAGCGTTCGTGGAGGCTGACAAGTCCGTCGAGGATTGCAGCAACTGCGGGAAACGGCGAAGAAAATCTGTTATTGAGGAGAAATACATTGTAACGGACGCCAAAGGTGACCTTCCAAGAAAAGCAAGAATGGTCATACACTCTGGTCTTGATGTCGCTGGTTTTCCCATACCCGAGGTCATCACCTATCAATTGTTGTATGATCTATCTGCGATCACACGGCCTCATTGTCAACGGGGTAACATACTGGAGTGGTGTGGTCAGTGTCATAAAACAGGCGACTTAAGTGGTTAGTTACGCTGGTTGCCGTCACGCACTGGCATATTCGTTTCCTTGCCCCTTATTAAATAAGGAACAAAGAGTGGTATTTCAGGGAAGCGGTTCCCAATGTCCGACGGAACTAACATGTACATTGAAAATTCGGCGATGAAATAGAACGCGGACGACGGGGAGTCATCGCGGTCGCGGGGTCCCTGGGTGTGAGTGGTTGGCCGAAGGAGACTTTACTTGCTATGTGAGCCTCGCAAGATTCAACGAAGACGAACAGTAAGGAGACAGCACATTACAAAATTTCAAACTTCATTCGCGGTGCACAATAAAACAAAACAGTTATAGGCTGCTAGTCAGGGAAAACCAAAAATAGGCTTCGCGCTATGCTATAAGGACAATGCCCCACCTAGGCCGATTCTCTTAAGTCAATACTACCCTATCACAGCCATTCTGGTTGTCATTGACAACACCAAAGAAGAGCACTAGTGATCTAGTATCCCGCAACCATATCAGTTAGTTTGGGTAAAGTATTCTAATCGGAAGGAACCGGGGGAGGGCTTCACCTCCAACAATCGGTCAAACAACCTGGGTAGTAACCGACAGCATAAACGCCATTTGCATAATTATGAAGAGACTGGGCCTTACCGCCGTTTGGAGGTTTGTACGCCTGCATACTGGGAGTGTACGTTTGGTCCATGGGTAGACGTTTGACCAAACCAACCACTGCTTCCTCTGTTTAGGCTTGGGCAA